TGTCCTGGGGTAGATCTGTACAAGAGGGAGGTTCTGTACTGGGAAGAGATGTACCAGGGTAGATCTGTGATACTGGGGAATCTATACTGGGGGGAGAGCTGTGCTTGGAAATATCTGTACTAGTGGTGGACCTGTACTGGGGTAGATCTGTACAAGAGGGAGGTTCTCTACTGGGGAGAGAAGTACCAGGGTAGATCTGTAATACCAGGGAGTCTATACTGGGGGAAAGCTGTGCACTAGTGGGTGGAGCCGTACTGGAGTAGAAATGTACTGGGGTGGATCGGTACAAGAGGGAGGTTCTGTACAGGGAAGAGATGTACCAGGGTAGATCTGTAATACTGGGGAATCTATACTGGGGGGAGAGCTGTACTTGGAAAGATCTGTACTAGTGGTGAAGCTGTACTGGGGTAGATCTGTACAAGAGGGAGGTTCTCTACTGGGGGAGAGAAGTACCAGGGTAGATCTGAAATACTGGGGAATCTATAGTGGGGGGAAAGTTGTGCTTGGAAAGATCTGTACTAGTTGGAGAGCTGTACTGGGTGAGAGCTGTAAAGGGGAAGATCTGTATTACAGGAAATCTGTACTGGGGGGAGAGCTGTGCTTGGGGAGATATATACTGCAGGAGACATGTACTAGGGGAGATCTCCACTGGGGAAAATCTGTACTGGGGGTAATAGAGGGAATTCTGTATTTGACAGAGAGCCGTATTTGAGAGAGATTTTGGCATGGAGACAGAGGTAATTTTTTGTGTTTTACAATATCTACTGACTTGTGCATTATGCTTTCCTGACCTCTGCATTACGTGTGTTATCAACCCCCACTGCACACTGTACTGTGTATTTTTGTATTTCTGATCACTGCACCCTGTGCTTTGGATTGTATATGGTATGCTCCTGAGCACTGCACTATTTACATTTTACAACAGTTGCTGGTTGCTAAGTAGTCACTGACTATAAAGATAGGCTTTGTGCAGAAAACACATGTAATTGAAGTGTCTCATTGTCTAAAAATTATTTTGAGGGTTTTAGACTCTTGTGGTGTTGCACAATAATTAAAGCACATTTTTTGGGTATAAGGCATGTATTACCACATTAACAGCCAGTAAGCACAAGTTTTTAAGCCCCTCCATTTGTTACACAATTGTGCCACATCCGCAATTCGCCACAGCATTCTGCACACACCACCTAATTGTTCCCTGCATACCCAAGCTGCCCCCCCCCCAAACAATATTATCCAAGACCCTGGGTCAAAGGAACAAGTCTCCCCATTGGAAGATTTTCTCTCGCCTCCTGTCCTGGTGACAGCTTAAAATTTTTGATTCCCTGTCACTTTTTGTCTCAGTGGCAATGGTCCTCAGGACATATACAAATGGTGAATCACATTCTTCATGTCACAGGAAAAGTAAACAACAACCACAATAATAAAGTGCAATCCCATATTACAACATGGGTTTACAGTAATCTGTGAATTTCTATTTTTCATTGGAGAAGACTCTGAAGATTGAAACCAAAAAATGGTGGCGCAATAGAACAATAGAATTAAAAGCATATTTGTTTCTATTGTAATAAATAATATTTACTAACTTCCCCATACTGTTAGTTTATAAATGGGCAGAAAAATAACTACATACTGTACTAACATATGTTGTCTTTATGACTTTATTCAGTGGGTAATCATAATAAATAGCGCAAGACATTTGTCCTCATTTTTATGGGAGACTTTTTTATTAGAATAGGTCATCAGCCAAATGAGTGACTGTAATGTGAAGTTTACTAAACAGGTGCTAAGTTAGATCTAAAACCCTATTCAATCAGCACAACACACCCTAAAATAATACAATAGTGCTCTGAATAGTTGCTGCTAAGACACTGTCAGTGACTTCACAACACCTGTACCAAAATGAATAACAATAAAGTGTAGCGCAATAGACTAATATCTCATATAAAAATCAATAAAAAGAAATAATTAAAGTCCCATAAAAAGTCTCTTATAACACCACTGTGCAATGTGTATAAAATAATTTTTCTCTCTTCTTCAGTATCAACCATGCCACCACCATTAGTTGAAAAACCTGCTCACCTTACTTTATGACCTCATCAATAAATCATTATGCGCTCAACATATGGACACACTTTTATACACCCTCTGTGGTCTTCCTCCCGCTCCTCTCCCAGCACTGCCACAGTATATACCCCTCCAGCTGATGCTCTCATATAATATGTATTATGTAAAATAGAAACGTGGAACCAAAGTGCTCTCTATTTATAAAATGATTTATTATCGCCCAGATTAAAAACACCTGCAAAATGTAAGAAACAAGCCAGCATATAATGTATATTTCGTTACATGGCTCACCACCCCGTTCTCCCAGATGGTCATCAATTGAAAATGTCTAGGGCTCAGCTCCTTCCACCTATACGCGTTACGCCTCAGATTCGGGCTTCCTCAGTAGGCAGGGAGCCGGCAAATGTGGAGCCCTTAAATAACCCATGGGTTATTTAGCACATTTAGGTGCTAAGTTAAACACAATACTGCAATAGAAGTTTAGGATGGCAAAAACGTATACACTACAAACTTTTCTCAGATACAAATCTTCTGCACTGCGCTCAAACTTGTATAATTAACCCCTAAAATATAATAAATGTAATCAGCATTTATCAAAATGAATGCTATGTCAAATACCATAAATACGACACTACCTGCATGGAGCTTTCATGTTCACCCTGTGCTTGCTTGGGTTTTCTCCCACATTCTAAAATGGATGGTGAGGAGGCTACCTATCATCAACTAGCCACCAGTCAACTGCCCCCTTAAAAGTTATCAAAGTTTGTTGCGGTAATAAAAATTATCTGTAAATTTTGGGTAGTGGTGAAAATCACAAAACTGACCATTATGTCAGTGTAAATTGTATGTGTGTGTGTGTGTATGGGGGGGGGGGGGGGGAGAATGGAGCGTGTTTATTATTTTAATGCCATAGATTAACTGCCATAGGTTAAGTCCTTCCCTGCCTAGCCTTGGCATCCTTTTAATAAAGTCTGTACTCCCAGGAGAGTGAGAAGGATCATTGATCATGTGACAATTGTGATTGTCACAGTGGTCACATGATCAGGAGCCTGTCCTGCTGGCTGGCAGTTAGGTTCAAGAGCTGTCTGACAGTGAGCTTTCAGCATAGAAACATCAGCCACCCAGTGACGCATACTGTATGTGCAGCTTGTGAGTGTTAAAGGAGAAGTACAGCCAAAGTTCTTTTGGCTGCACTTCTCCTGTGGATCACTGGAGTTCAGTTCATTCTGCACTCCTTTGACCCGTTTTCAGCTGACAGCAGGCACAAGTCTGCTGTCGGCTGACATCATCAGCTGGTCCAGGATTGTGAAAGATCCCAACTTTAAAGTTGGGATCCACCAAGATCCCTTGACCAGCATCTGACTCATCCGCTGAGAGCCTGAGCCAGCCACTCCTGCCCCCTCCACAGCCCAGGCAGTCACCAGCTCTCTGCTCATGGGAGCACTGAGAAGTGATTGATCAGTGGTCTTTGATCGCTCATTTCTCAGACTTTTAGTCAGTGGGGGACAGATGCAGCATCAGACTGGTGCTGCATCCACCTAGGTAGGTATGACTTCTAAAAAAAAACAAAACCTCAACTTCTCTTTTAAAGCCCATATGTGTTATGTGGGCAGCAACATGTTTTTTTTTTTTTTTACTTTAGTACTGTCACCAGGGGATGATAACAGTATACAGTAAATACACCAAATGTGACAGTTCCATTTTAGAGAAATATCAGGGATCAGACCCCTGATATTTCCTCTTTGTGATAGCAAAAAAAAAAAAAAATTAGTACTCTATCCTCTTCTCCCCTGCTGTTCAGAACTCATTAACACTGAACATGGAATTTCTCTATACTGAGCTCTTCTGTGTTCATTCACAAAGTGAAGAGATTCTCAGATATGAGAGCCATGTTTATCGATCTCCCCACTTACTATCCTGAACTTGAAATAGAAATGAAGCCAAGACCCCGAGCACATCACCTGTAAAGGCTAGGGGGGCATCAGCACTTGAGGAAAGAGGCACACAGGGGCTGGGGGGACAACAGTAGAGCAGGAGGAGGGCAAGGAGCACTCACACATTCTTTTTAATGAATGGCATGTAATTAGCTTGTCAGCTGCTGATCACACCTATTCATGAATTACTAGATGATGGGGGATCACTCATCATGGCAATTAATTACTAGCAAACAGGTAGCTTAATCCGTATTTTGTCTTCTGCTTAAACTGGACCTTTCAATAAATTTACAAGTGTGCATGAATAAATTCCTCATATTATTTTTAAAAGCTATGCGATACAGTCAGTGACATTGCCTAGTCTGAGATATTGGCAACAGTCTGCTGCAGGCAGGAGAAAGCGTTTCCCCAGTTTCCCCAATAACAAATCTGCAACTTTGTAGCTAGTTAGATCAACAGTGTCTGACGTTTGTAAACACAGCCAAGACCTGCACATGCACCAGGATTACGTAGGTGTCATCACTGTCATCACTGAGCCAGCATCCCAGTCCATGAAGTAGGGGCTGACCCTGGACGATGCTGTCTTTCTAGAGATAAAATTAGATGAAGGGAATAACAGGGGAGTACTGTGATCTCTTAGATAGGCTATAAATACCTGTATGTGTTACCTATACAGCACATAATTTAGCATGTATACACATACCCATTATCAATAATCTGATGCTAATTCCACTTTAAACATAATTTAAAATGAGTGTAAAGCTTTAATTTAAACTCCCTGGATCATGCACAGATAGGATCGACACTTCTGTTGTACTAGGTGATGTACAACAGTGATTACAGGTGCCGGATAATATAATCTGTTAAACAGATGCATTCTAAAGCTACAGAATGGAAATATGCCTTACCTCAGTAAATAAATTGTTTTAACACTTGGGCTCTTGCTCAACTCTGTAACAAAGTGCCTCACAACAGAAATACGATATTGAAATACATGCTTACCAGCGTCATCATCATATCCACAGGACTGACTTTGTTCGGATTCATTTATAGAGCAGTTTCTTTATTTGCTCAAATGTAGGCCTTTGTGCGAGGTTTTGGCTTCTGCACTTTCTGATCAGCTATAGTAGAAATCAAAGAAAGAGGAAATCCAGGGTCTTTATTCATGTCAGATTTGGATCAGTTGCAGTAGCACACAGATACATTGCAGTCTCCGTTTGTAGTGAAAAGCCTCTGCTGTGATATCACTGAGACAGGTCACCTTGGATTAACTTAATACACTGGCATAAAGTGATCTAGGTATTAGACACAGCACAAGTGCTTCTCAATGGATAACAGCAGTCTTTTGTTTGCTTTATTGGGCCTGTAATTTCACATTTTTCACAAACGTATTTGTAATATCCATTCTTGCTTTTAAAATAACTGAATGCCTTTGGCCAGTTTTTCAGGATCTTGGGGGTACATATGCAAATTTCTTTTTCATTCTTGCTACAGAAAAAAAAACAAAATAAAACAGCACACAGGTCCTTCCAAAGTTCCCACACAGTACATAACAGAACATGAGGGTCTGCTATTTATTGGGGGGCCTTCAGTGTTTTTGTGCCGTTTTTATTTTTAAAGAAGCAGGAGGGGGATTTCATTTGCCAGCAATTTAAAAACTTTTTCTTTTGGAAATGTAAATGTCAATGCTAAATAATAATTTCTCCTAGCTGCATGTCATTTTAATTTTTTTTCCATTGATGCATGTTTCTCAGGGCAGTGCCAGCCCCCATGCTATTTTTGACACCCCCTTGCCTATTAGACCAGAAAATGTCCATTTTATTTGATAGATTTGGCTCCCAGTTTGGCTTCTGAACCTCTTTGAAGTTAGCCAAACCCTGCTCAAACCAAACCCAGGGTAGTTTGGCTCAGCACTATGGCATAGTAGGCTTGCACTTTAGTCTCTCTACTTAAACAATTAATAGTTCATTACCAGGTCTTATACTAGGTCAAATCCATGTACTTATACTGCTTGCATTTAAAAAAATAACTAAGTATCAATTGATATAGAATAATAATATAGCTTAGGAAGATCCTTACCTTTTATAGTTTAGGTAACTCCAAATGAGATTGCATGGGGATTCTACGATCAGATTGTAACATGTATGACTAGATTTAGGTGACTAGCACTGAGAAACCAGATTGTTATCCCACCATTTCCTAAACCCATGTGCAACTGGGCAGGTGATTTCAGGAGACAGTTTCCTGTATACTTCCTCTGTATAAGATATATTGATTCTTAAATTGTACCTGTGCCCAGACTATGAACATTAATTATTCACATATTCTTAACAAGCACCCTGCCTCTTAGATTGTAAGCTCTGACGGGCAGGACCTTCTGATCCCTCCTATATTAAATTGTACGGTCTGCTCTCATATTATACAGTGCTATGTAAACTGTTGGTGCTATAAAAATCCTGTATTAATAATAATAATATTAATAATAAAAGCTGTAAAATAATTTTAAAACAAGCTATCTATGAACTTCTCTAGATGCTTGTAATGTGCAGTAATGTGATCTCAAATAAATCTAAAGAATGTGGATTGATATCAAAACTGTACAGTTTTTTGACAACTAAGAAAAGCCTGTTGTGCATTAAAGGGCTAGCAGGGTGTTCAGTTTTCTGGAGCTAGAGTAATATGGAAAAGTCTAGATTTGTGAGCACCTGTTGCAAAATTTGAACATATATTTCACCACAATGCTTATGAAATAAAGAATGCAGAAATGAATAAAGGCTTGTTTAAAAGTGATTTTACTGCTCTTTAAGAATATGTTAATGTAAGTAGCAAGTGTAGATTCACTTTATTCCTAAAGCGAAGTTTCCACCCGAAACGGAAAGCTCCGCTTGTCTGTCCCCTCCCCTCCTCCACTGCCACATTTGGCACATTTCAGGGGAGGATCAGGTACCTGGTTTTGACAGTTCGATCCCCCTCCCCTCCTTACACTTCACAGGTCCCAGAAGACTGCCGGACCATTCAGAAGGCGCAGCGCGACTCGGCATTAACATTGCGCACCCAGCTGTGAAGCCACAAGCTGCCGCAGCCGGGTGCCCTCAGTTGAGATGCTTGTGCCAGGGGGAGAAGAGGGAGAGAAGGGACAGCGCAGGTGAGCTCATCGCAAGCTCCTGGGACAGGTGAGTGTGTGTTTAATAAAAGTCAGCAGCTGCAAAAACTGTAGCTGTTAACTTTTAATAAACACAAAAACTACTGGAACTCTGCTTTAACTGGTTTAATAGTGATTTTTATATCTTCTTTGAAGCTGACTCACACATGAGATGTGAATTGAAGCTCAGGTTTCAGAGCTAATTGAATAGTTGGTCAGTGGTTCAGGTTAGCTTTAGATCAAGTTCAGGGCAGGTTCAGGTCAGGATTTTATCCTGTTCACATGTGTGCGGTTTAGAAATGGTTCCCATAGAAGTCAATAGCCTGTAAAACCACACCTGAACCGGACTGTACTGCATGGATATCGTACAGGACTCTTTCAATTCCCACTGAATCCGCACTGCCAGTGCACCGGACATATGTGAACAGGCACCATAGGAATCAATGTTATTTCACATGTCATGCGGATTGGATGTGGTTCAAACCGCATCCAATCCGCATATATACAGTATGTGAACCAGCACTTAAATAGTAACCAAAAATAGAAATGCATATTCGAGCATACAAAAATTACTAGTTTGGTTTAGTGTTGGAGTGACTCACCTCCGCATATTCTGATGGACATGGACATCGCATTATCGGATTTCCCTTTTATTAACTCTGGTAATGGAAGGCAGCAGTACTCTGCTGAATTTTGTGTCTCCTTTCTAAGCAATAAAGACCGAATTACACATTTTAAAAACTTTTACAACATTTTATTTATAAACCAATAAACAAAAGTGATCCAATTCAATTCCAAAGACTGGAATCACCAGTGAATATACTGTAAAATACTATAAGCCTTTTGTGGTCCATTGTACTATACTTTATTTTCCCTGAAAGCTTGTCAATAGTTTATCCTCTTCTGAACGCTGAGTGATCATGATTACACATTATGTATATGCGGTTTCATCTTTGCATCCTGAATGTTACCTAAGCATCTCATTAAATCCTCTTAATCCTGCAGCTTCAAATACTTCCTGGAGACCATATGTCATGACAAATATTTTAAATTATTTATATTTGTGTTGTTAAATCTGTTTATCTTTGTATTTCCCTTGTTCTGTTGAGTGTCCTCATCCAGACTCAGCTATCTGATCTTTATTATGTAACCTTCCGTGCAGATACCTCAGCCATTCCCTTTCATCTTTAGCACATAGTAGAATGTTCCCTGGTTCAATCTGTGTGCACCCATTCCATCCTTTACACTGGAAATTAATTTAGGGCCAGTGTTCCACCTCTCACTTAAAGTGCACCTCTGGTTTTCAACACAAACAATGCCACACTAAAGGTTGGCAGGAGGGCTGAAACATTTTTGTTCTTGAGTTTTCATGCTCTGAAGGTTCTAGTGTATTTAAAGCAATGTTACCAACTAAACCAGTTACACCAGAGTGTGCCTTTACAGGGAACTGAGGAATATTATTCCTTTAGAATATAGGCAAAAATGATAACTTGCCTATTCCTCCCAGCAATGATGAAGTAAGAAGCATGGAGCCTCTTTCAGGAACAAAAAAGAGGGAATCCAAGTAGTCAAGAGGTAGACTCTTGTACTACGTACCATATTGGAACAGTAAGGAGAAATCTCCTTGGGATGTTTTCAAACAGGACATAAGGAGAGAAAAGCAACACTCTTGTTAAGATAGAATGGGGAAAGAAGGTTATAGACTGCAGAACACCATATCCTTATGTAATTCTAAGAAAGGCTCTTTACATGATGAGACACTCTGAGCAAAAGTGACAGCAACAAGAAAGGCCACCTTGTGAGAGAGGTCAGAATAGCCCTAAATGTTTTATAAGGCGGCCTCTGGAGGACCTAAAGAACCAAGTTAAGATTTTTTTTTTTATTTTATTTAGTTGAGAGATTCACCAAAACAGAGAATGGCAAACATCTAGTACTGAACAAGTCATTAAAAGAAGTAGGGCCAAAGCTCTTTTGGGTCCTGTAAATCACAGGAGTGCTGGTCCAGACTTGTTGTTTTTCATAGGTTGGGCTTGGCCCTTTAGTACCAGTGAAGAGAACTTTTAAGGCGTCAGCATACCAAAACATTTTGGACAATTTCATGCTCCCAAATTTGTGGGAACAGTTTGGGGGTGGCCCCTTCTTGTTTCAGCATGACTGTGCACCAGTGCACAAAACGAGGTCCATAAAGACATGGATAAGTGATTTTGGGGTGAAGGAACTTGACTGACCTGCACAGAGTTCTGACCTCAACCTGATATAACACCTTTGAGATTAAATAGAGAGGAGGCTGTGAGCCAGCCCTTCTTGTCCATCAACAGTGCCTGACCTCACAAATGCGCTTCTGGAAGGATGGTCAAAAATTCCCATTGACACACTCCTAAACCTTGTGGACAGCCTTCCCAGAAGAGTTGAAGCTGTTCTAGCTGAAAATGGTGGGCCAACTCAATATTGAACTAAGACTGGGATGCTATTAAAGTTCATGTGCATGTGAAAGCAGGTGTCCCAATACATTTGGCAATATAGTGTATGATAAAATACAAGACAGCTGCCCAAGGAACATAGTCTGTGTAAACACAGGGCAGCAACATACTGAGTAAAAAAAAACCATTTGGAATCGGTGAAACCAAACTATTTTTATCGGTATATTGACAGGGAAAAACGGAAGCATGGAAAAGAAACATAAGGTGAGGGGGCAGAGAAAAAAAAAAAGGGGGGGTATCAACTTCCTAAATATATTTTGTATAGTTGGAAAAGCATTCAAATTCTTCCCAATAATACCATTTCTTAGGCAGGCCGTAGATGGGGGAATCCCTCCCACTGAGCTTTTTTGTGTTCTGGTGGGGAGGGGGGTGGGGCAAGGAAGGGCAGGAGGGGGCAGCAGCCCCTGCTGGGAGAAGACAGTGAT